AGACAGAAACATAATGTTGCAGAAGTCTGATCAATCGTGGGGTCTCCAGCAGGACGTTAATGAGACTAGGCATATTCCATTCAATATGTATATAGTACTTGCCACTAAGGGAATAATTCAAACCGAGACTGAATTTGGTAAAAATAAAAAATTCTAATTAACCAAGCCAGGAGGGGCTTCACTCATGCCTATGTCAGCTATACACTCTAAAGAACAAAAGAGAGATCAACAATTAGTTTTACCATCCGGTTTTAAAAAATCCATTCCTAAAAATAGTAGAGAACTTATTCTTCCATCAAATCCCTATTCACTAAGTGAAATGCAGCATGAAGATCAACAAAAGCATTTATCATTACAAGACCTAACATCCCATGCTGAGACATTCTGGAGACCAATTCTCACTTCAGACCCCTACTCAATAAGTGAAATGCAACGTGAAGAACAGGAAAGGCATTTATCATTACAGGATATAACGTCCCATACTGGAATATTTCGAAGACCAATTTTACCTAGTGATTTAGAATTTCTTTATTGGTAACAGCGAGAACATCAGAATCAAAATTTTGTTCCTCTATCACATAAATCACACCCGAATAAGGGAGTATTACCAGTCGTCTATTCAGAAAAAGTGGTACAGAGTAGTCTAGTCAGTAATGCATTTCCTAACGCACATTTAGCGAATATCGTTGGGATAATTCGATCACTTCGAACTGGAGATGATATGCGACATACATCAGGGCTAGATTTCTTTGATTCTATTAGACACCTCTTTACTTCAGAAAGATCTGTCCCCTTGTAAAAAAATCTAACTTTCTCACACAAACAAGATTTTATATGACACTTGAATCAGACGTTACCTAAATCTGCTAGAGCTGATCAATATAATATTCACGTTTATAGTTCTGCCCCTTCATAAATTTCAACAGAAAGATCGAATCCAGATACTCTTTGGCAACATACTTATGAAAATTTACTTATATTTGGGCCACCTCTTCTTGAATGGCGAAGTCATACCGATGATGCAATGGCTTTAGGGAATTCAACTGAAACTGTTTTCAGATCTAATGCATCTGGAGGGTATTATACTGCTCCCACTGGACCTAAAACTTTACGCACGTACAAAGAAAGTAACTCTATAAATTTACATGACGGATTGGTTAATTCCTTTTAAAAAAGATAAGTTAATTGTATATGTTTATATATTTTATTTATTGTTAAACTATAATTCGATCTAATCATGCTGTATATCTAAAACTTCATAAATTTTAACAAAAAAAGCTATTAATCATCATGAAATAGTAGTGAATAAAGTCTAAAGTACTAGCCCTCAAGGAATACCTTGGATGGTTTTATTTTAAAGATATATATATATATATGAATAAGTTATAATAAATAAATAGATATATTAATCAGATAAATAGATATGTGTATTATACATTGTTAATTTGACGTATTTCTTCTCGAATACTTCATAGTAATTTAAAATGTATAGCTAATTCTGAAGCGCAGAGGCCATCGGGTCTGTACATATATTCAATCCATTTTTGTTGTATGACCTTTGCAGCTCGAATCTTTTTACCAGCTTCTCTTGCACGTTCGATTTTTCTAACAGCATTTTCTATCCACAACTCATACTCACGTAATACATATATATCATCAGTTGAGTGTTGAGATTTGGGCTTTTGTTTAAGCCTCTT